GCAGATTACCTAGTGTGTACTTCTAGCTCTTCATAAACTTTAATAATCATTTCACTTCTCTGTGCCTTATGTTACTTCTCTATTTAAATGAATATAGCAAGTTCCGTGAGAGTGGGGACCTTAGCAGTCTTGTTCAATGTGTAGCATAGTGACTAGCATATAGTAGATACTCGATAAATAATGTTGGCTCAGCACAACTCAGGGATATTGTGAAAGGGATGATCCATTGGGTAAGAATGCAATTTTGAGAAGGAATCATAAGTATTCTGCAAAAATGACTGATTTTCTATGTTTAAGATTCCTAGGGGAGATAAATGGTCTTGCCTAACATTTCTCTATCAGGACCCAAACACAAGATTTGGAGTCAGAAGATCTTGCTTTGAGACATGGTTTAACCACTTAAGGTTTAAAAACCTCAAATAAGTAACTTAAGTTCTATGAACTTCATTTCCTTCATAGGCATATTTGAGTTATCAATAATGCTTCAGAGTATTTTTGAGACAACATGCACAAGGCTCTGGGTTTGATGCACAGCATCACAAAAAAAGAATGGAATATTTTGAGAGATCCACAGATTGATGCAATACAAGCACCTGTGAACTTCAATTACAATAAAGCACAAGTGCATTAAGAAATGGTAATTTGCCATGTTCTACTTTACAGGACTAGAAATCACAAAAAGCAAAAACATATTCCTGTTACTCAGCAAGATAAAGCTGTGCTGTCCCCTCAAACAAACCTGACCTTCTTATAAATACAGGAAATATAGGAAGCCAGGCACCATGGTGCACACCTGTAATCCTAGTGGCTCAGGAGGCTGAGGCAGGAGGATTGTGAGTTCAAAGCCAGCTTTACCAATGGTGAGGCACTAAGCAACTCAGTGAGACCCTGTCCTAAATAAAATACAAAATAGGCTGGGGATGTGGCTCAGTTCTTAAGTGCACCTGGATTCAATCCCCGATACCAAAAAAAAAAAAAAAGAAGAAGAAGAAGAAGAAGAAAAATACAGGGGAAACTGGCATCTCTTTCTGTCCTTTATACAGAGTTAGATAAGCAGAGCTGCATAAGAGCACTTCTCCCCCTCCTCACACCAGCTCCCTTTACTTGATGCACCTAATTTCCTCTGAGGTAGCCCCACTAAATATTTCCAGTCAGAAGGAAGACATGTGCTGGCTAGAACTGCTTTGAGGAATTGGCCAGGGTCCCATCTGAGGTTACAGGCCAAAGTAAAAAATCCCTCTTCTCTCATTCTTGATGTTACATAAAATGCATGGCCAGAGGCCAGTTCCCGTTTGCACTTTTCATTTGTAAAAGTTCAAAATTCAAATTTATTATTTATTATCTGTTTCTCTACTTGATGGATCTCCATAGAAATTTTTCTCCAGATCCTTATGTTTATGTTCTGAGCAAATCTTCAACCTATATATATATTTTTCCTTTTTTTGTTTATTTTTCTTTCAAATGTGTTCAGACAGCCTATATAATTTAGCTGTAGGATTAAGTTCTAATATAAACTTACAACCCCCCAGAACACACTCTTTCATTGTACTGTTCATGACATATTAAGGCAGTTACAGTATGTAAACTGATTTACTATTGAAATTTAACTTAGTAACCAACATTACTGAGAAAATTTTTTGTCTGTGCAGAATCTAAGAAAGCTTGAGGTAGCCAATCCTAACACTCATCAGGATTATTATTATTTTTTGCTTATCATGTCTTTTTAGACTTAAAAACAGTTATTGAGACATAATTTACACACTACCCAACTCACTCATTTTTAAAAAAGTATATGATTTAGTGAATGTTTTTTTTAAAGAGAGAGTGAGAGAGGAGAGAGAGAGAGAGAGAGAGAGAGAGAGAGAGAGAGAGAGAGAGAATTTTTAATATTTATTTTTTAGTTCTCGGCGGACACAACATCTTCGTTGGTATGTGGTGCTGAGGATCGAACCCGGGCCGCACGCATGCCAGGCGAGCGCGCTACCACTTAAGCCACATCCCCAGCCCCTAGTGAATGTTTTTTAATATATTTAATATATTGTGTAACCATCATCACTATCTAATTCTAGAACATTTTCATTACCCCCATAAAAAGACTCCTTGCCCATTAGATAGTCCTCCCCGTATCTCCCCCGCTCCTAGCTCCTGGAAAATACTTGTCTACTTTCTGTCTCTGTGGATTTGGCTATTCTGGACATTTAATGTAAATGGAATCATAGAATATGTGCCTTTTTGTGACTGATTCATTTTACTTACTATAGTATCTTCAAGGTTCAGCCATGTTGTAAAACTATCTGTATTTCCTTTCTTTTAATGGCAGAATAATATTACATTGTGCAGACATAATACATTTTTCTTATCCATTCATCTTTTGGTAGACACTTGGGTTGTTTCTACCTTTTGGCTCCTGTGAATCATGCTGTTATAAACATTAGCATACAAGGATTCATTTGAATCTTGTTTAAATTATTTTCATTTTATACTGAGGTATAGAAGTGTTAGATTATAAGGTAATTTTAACATTTTGAGGAAGTGTCAAACTGTTTGCCCTAGCAACTGCACTCTTCTACATTCCTACCCAGAATGTATGAAGATTCCAATTTTTCATTTTTCTGTCTTTTTTCACTATAACCATCCTGCTAGTTATGAAGTGGTATTTATTGCATTGTGGTTTTGATTTAAATTTACCCCATCAAGATTTTTTTAAATTACTGTGTTTTTTAGAGGTCATTTCTCTGACAACCGTAACTCTCTGAACCACAGTTCTGCATGTAGTGTATTGTAAAAGGACGCTCCAAGCAGTTAGGATTCATTATAGAACATTCGCAACAAAATCCCTATCTTGTCCCTTAGGCCCCTCATTCAGTAACTAACTCTTATTCAACATTTATGATTGACCATTAGATTTTCCAGAATGGATCTAGAAAATTTAGTATGGCAGATATTAAGGCAGCAAGTGAAGTGACATACGAAGTAACAATTAATAGTCTGCCACCGATGAAGAAGCACTGTAATCTTTCCCCAGACATTAATGACTCCAAGTTTTTAACAGAGGCCAACTTATGTTAAATACTTTTTAAGAAGACAAAACTATTTACAATACATTTTAGAAAGATTTCCTTAAAGAATGACTTAGAGAAAAACATTTTTGGCTCTGGAATAAATAAGCTTGCATGAATTTTCCAGGTATTTAATTCCCCATTGATATCTGAAATATCAGGAGATATTGAATTTCCTCCAGAATTTAGAAAGGACAAGCAGATTCTGTAAACTTATTGAAAGTATTGTTCAAAAGGTTAAATGAAATATTTTCAAGAACGTTAATTCCACTTCTTGATGACTTTAACAATTACTTGACTAGTCTGGTACTCAGAGCTTACTTTTCCTTCAGTGGTATTTTGGCACATGTTGATGATTTATTGCCAGTAAATTAACCTTTCATACATCTTCTCAGCTGAGTTGCATGACACTGGGTTAAACTTCAAACCTTAAAGCTGCACAATATTTAATATATTACTGAACAGTGCTTTCTGTCTCACTTATATCTGTATGCTAATATCTTCTGAGCTGTTCTGATTTCCCTTCATAAGGACAATATTCCCATGAGAAAAAAAAATATGGGATCTTTTCAAAGAATTTTTTTTTATACAAAGCACATTTTACATTTCGTTTCTCCACACTACCTCATATAAAGTGAGTCTCCAACTAGTTGTGTCATGACTCTTTTATGGATTTTCAATGATTATATTTTCAATACACATAGAAGGAACTTCTCAGTACACCTTAAATTTTCTTAGCAATTCCTATTGCTATTGGAAAAAAATGATCAATTTTATTTATTTTTTTTTTTTTTGGTGGTGCCTGGGATGGAACCCAGGGCCTGAAACATGCTAGGCAAATGCTCTATCACTGAGCTTGATTAAAGGTCAAGCCTTTAATCAGACCATAATAAAGTTAGTTTAAAGACAGGTTTTTGATGATAGCCTCTAAAAACTGGAGAAACACAAGTGGATTATGAATGCATAAGGGACTGTCATGTTAAGCTGTGACATTTTCTGCACAGTGGACACCAAAATGAATTTCTACCTTAACCAGGTAAAACATAATAACATTTAAAAGTTTGGGTTGTTGCCCAGTTTTGTATTACAGCAGCAAATCTAAGCAGTTGCTTCGTTTACTGTGCATAGCTTTACATTGGGAAATACCCTTTTTATTTACAAGAGCTGACTGTACTCTGTTGCACCGTCAGTAGGTAGATGCTTCCTGTTCTAAATAGAATATGGTTACTTTTCTTTCCAAATCTAGAGTTTGAAATGGAAGCATTGTAGTATTTTAGCTAATTTTATTTATTTTTTTCTTGCAGGTTCTGAAAAGTGCCTTTTCTGAAAACTCTGCTGCTTGGATTCTACTCTAGAGCTGTCTCTTTACCAACCCCTCTCCCTGCCACATCCTTCCCCGCTCCCTGCCTCCTACAAAACCTGGCGTGCTTGTAGTTCACTTGTCAGCAACTTGTCCATTTTTTTTTTCTGTGATTCGCAGTTTTCTTAGTCATTTTCTCGCCCCTCAATTTTGCAGCAAAGCTGGTTTTCGGGTTGTAACATCTTCCCCAGTCTTATTCTTCAGAACTAAGAAATAGGGAGAAAAACTTTTCTCTCCCTGATCTGAGACCCTTGCACAAATTGAAGGGCAGCAAGCAGCATATGCTTTTTATAAGAATAATTGAAAACATCAACTAGACAGCACAGAATTCTTTTGAAAGCCTGCCAGTTTTTTGAGGCAAATTCAGCAAAGGAACAAAATAAACCATTCAATATCTATAAGCTTTACAGTTGCCTTCTTAGGAGTTGGTCTCTAATTTGATTTTTAGTTATTCTGATACAACTTTGATTTTATGAGTGACTTTTTATTTGACTAGATCAGATTTGACTTAAATGGAAACCTAAGTGCTAACAAATAGGACATTCTGCCAAAGCAACTTGGTATCTTTCACATTTACCCCTAATTCATTTTTAGTCCTTTAACAATCCATAGTGATATTCTCCTAAAGAGGGTGCACTTTCAATATGACGGCTGTCAATGTTGCCCTGATTCGTGATACCAAGTGGCTGACTTTAGAAGTCTGCAGAGAATTTCAGAGAGGAACTTGCTCTCGACCTGATGCAGATTGCAAGTTTGCCCATCCACCAAGAGTTTGCCATGTGGAAAATGGTCGTGTGGTAGCCTGTTTTGATTCTCTAAAGGTGAGCACCATTTGAATGCACGTAATTTAAATTGGTTGATTTCTATGTTTTTCAAAATATGATGTGCTGTGAAATGTTTAAAATTAATAACAGCATGGAATTGGTAAGTTTTGCTTTTAAAAACAGAATGTAGACTTTGTGCTTATAGAAATAAGCCAGTCTAAAGCTCACTCACCCCTTATAAAGATAGATACAAGAATTTTTGTAGGAGAGATATAGTTTTGCTAATAGTTAGCTTTTTTAAAAAAATGGATTTAGATTTTGAACACAGTAATAGAAATCCTCATATAACCTAGAGAAGCTTTTACCAAATTACAATGTAGCTGATTATCCATACTATAAAAATACATGTGGCAGAGACCAGTTTTTAGAGGATAGACAAAGCCAGACTGGAATAGTATAAGGTGAAAATCTTACTTTTCAGGAAGAAAACTATGGCATTTAGAAGATTTTTACTAAAAGTATATTTTGAACCTTTAACATAAAGACATAACTATAAAACTAGGCTCACAGACTGGCAATGTAGCTCAGTCGTGCCCTTGCCAAGCATATACAGGATCCTGAGTTCCATCTCCAGCACTGCAAAACAAAACAAAATAAACTCACTAGGTTCATTTAATTTTCTTCTTGAATACCTAATTGACCAAATCCAGATTTGTGACTACATTTTATAAGGAAAGTTCTACAACCAAGGTCTTCAAATATTAATGTTATACTGGAGTATAAACAAAACATGAGGAAGATGAGGTATTATGTAGAATAGGACATATATGATTGCGGAACAAGAAGATGCATTGATTTTCATGTTTTATTCATAGTTATCCCTAAATTAAGGATAAAGATGTACAAAATCAAAGCATAGGAGCAAAAATAGTAGTGGATTCTTGGCTTAATTAATAAGATTTTCTATGATGCATTCAAGATGTTTTTTCAAAATATGTTAAAATGAATTAAGCTTAACAAGAAACTTTTCAATTTCTTGATATTGTTTTACCCTCATCATGACCAGTTTTACCTCATTAACATTTTATTTATGGTGGCATTGGCTAATAGATATGTATTCTTTGATGTGAAAGTTTCTTCAGAAAACATTTTCTTCAATGATATACGACAGCTTGAGCATCCCTTAGTTGAAATGCTTGGGATCAGGAGTGTTTCAGATTTCTGAGTTTTTCAGACTTTAGAAAATTCACATGTATGTAATGAGATATCTTGAGAAATCCAAGTCTAAGCATGAAATTATATAGTATTTTTAGTGCAACAGCATTTTGACTACAACCTGTCACATGAGGTCAGTTGTAGAGTTTTCCATGTTTGACATCTTGTTGGTGTCAAAAAGTTTTGGATTTGGGAGCACTTTGGATTTTCAGATTAGGGATATTCAACGTGCACTTCAGTAGTTACTCTTAACTTATTTCAAGTTCTTAGTTTTTATTGAAGATCATTCTAGTTCAAGAATGGAAACTTGTTATGGTAAAGGTAATTCCTACTGTTGAAAATCTCAGAATTCCTTTTATTTGCAAAATACATTATGACTAAAGGACTTATTTTGCTTTCTTTATTTTGGGGTCATTCATGTTTCATTTACAGTTGTTTGTATATTACTTCAATCTACTACTGTAGGACTAGGCAGTGCCTCCACGTGCAAGAGTGCACTAGTCAGGGTTGGGGAAAGGCAACTTTTTCATCCCGTTCATACTCAGATTGATCCATGGCAATAGGCACTTTATGTATGTGGTTTCTGAAGATCTGGAGTATACTCCTAACCCCACAACTGTACTTGACCTTGGGCTCCTGAATCTTATGAACCTTGAGTGACTTCATCTCACTCTACCTAACAACTTTTCCACCTTATTTTCATGATCAATTGTGAGAATGCCAAAAACATAACACAAATGAAAAACCATGCATCACTACAAAAGTGAATTAAACGAAACGTCGTGTTCTATCAACTAAATGGTTTTTTAAAAATTTATTTATTTATTTATTTTTATATGGTGCTGAGGATCAAACCCAGGGCCTTGCATGTGTGAGATAAGCATTATACCGCTGAGCCATAACCCCAGCCCCTCAACTAAATGTTTTTTAAGGAGTGCATCAAAAAATTTTATTTAGTGGGACTGAGGTTGTGGCTCAGCAGTAGAGCGCTTGCTTGCCTTGCACATGTGAGGCACTGGGTTCGATCCTCAGCACCACATAAAAATAAATTTTAAAAAATAAAGATATTAAAAATTTATTTAATTAGAATTTATTATAGGAAACTACAAATTCATCTTCCATGCCAAAATTCAGTTGCTATGAATATGATAACAGTTCTTCTCACTAAGTATCATTGTTTCTGTAGTTTTCTCTTTGGTATAGAGTTCTTCGTAGATTCTGTATTTGTAGGCATCCCAGAATGTGGCAGGAGATATGTGACCCTCCTAAGCATTGATATACTTTAGGTCATGGTTCCCATTTAAAGACAAAAGAGTTCTATAAACTAAATATTTTAAAGAAAATATTATGGAAGGCATTTGTTATCAAAATGCATAGTGCACTTTAAAGCTTAGAAAATGTTTAATTCAGAGACTAGGTAACAGCTAATGGATAAAAATAACCACTTTATTATTTAAATAAGCTGTCTACTCACAGTATCTGGTTTTTTAAAAATAATTTGTGCATTGTGTTAATATTCTGATGGCCAGTCACATGGGTAAAGATAATTTGCATAATCCTTACATCCTCAAATTTTAATGAAAAACTTAATTATTCAAATATACAGAGTCTTTGAAACAGTTATTTCATTTGCCACTTAGATAGCACATTCATCAGAGTTCCATGTCTACACAAAAGCTTTGTAGTTCCCTTTTCTATTATTTCTTCTCCACAATATGCATGAAAGCTATGGCAAGTTGAGGGTAATTGACCTATGAGGGTAGTGCCACTGTCATAGCTACAATACACAAAAAAACATACCTCAATAGTTATCACACCATTTACTACCCCTCTTGAGTTTGTATAATTTAAACACCATGAAATTCATCTGTGTACTATTTCTTCTTCCATGAGTGGTTAAATAACTGAAGCAATCATTTGTTGAGTTTGGGGCTGCAGCTTTTGTTTTTATACGAATTTCTTTAGCACTCACTATTGTATCAGATGATGGTCCTTTGCCTTCATAATAGGTCCAATAGATAACAATGTCTTTAACTCACCTCATAAAACGAGGGAATGTTACAAAAATGATAAGGGTGAGTTGGATGGTTAATTATGAATTGTGCTGAAGTGCTATGCCCATCACTCCGTGAATGTTGAGTGTTTAGTGATGAAAGTTGTCTCATCTTCAGATAGAAATCTAGATGGTGCAGCCTGCAGATTAATTTCCAGAGACAGAAGAGTCTCATGTCATGTTGGTATGCAGCTGTTTTTGATGCAGTTGCTTGGTCTGCTTGGCACAATTTATTTCAAAAGTTTCTTTCAAAGTATCACTTAATCCATTCTATGCCAACATTTTAAAAAATATTTTTTAGTATTTAGATGGACATATATCTTTATTTTATTTTTATGTGGTGCTGAGGATCGAATCCACTGCCTCACATGTGCCGGGCAAGCACTCTACCACTGAGATACAGCCCCAGCCCTATGCCAACTTTTTGATACTCTGGTTTGCAGTTGATCTGAGTTGGTATTTTTTTCCCTTGGATTTCACAAAGGTTCATCAGTATAAAAATTAAATCAATGCTTGCAATTATTTTCATGGCCAAGTTATTCTGCTTCAACAATATTTTGGTATCTGGTGTTTTGAATTTTCAACTCCATACTTGAAGCAATATGTGGTATCAGCCACCTGTTATCTAGAAAGGAAGTAAGTTGTCATTATTTCATTATGACAATTCAACACCCTTTGCATTTGCCCACCACACTTGAGGTAGTTTTGTCACAGTTATTTCCCTGTTAAGGTCATAGCATCAGGCATAGTCAGGGGATATTCATGTCAACCCATATACTTTTCTATATGAAGCAAACTGATAAAATAGTGCAAATGATTCAACCCTACATTGCCTTCAAATATCACAAATGATCACAAGCATAACATTTGACAAGTAGAACCTGTAATAGAGGCATAAGGATGGGAATGTATCCTTGTACATAAAATTGATCAAGACACCAGTATACTCTCTAGTCACAGCAGTTTTCACTAGTTTTTTTTTTTTAAATGACTATTTATATTTATTTTTTTGGTACTGAGCATTGAACCTAGGTGGCATTCTACCACTAACCTACATTCCCAGCTCATTATCCCTAGCCTGTTTTGCTTCTTATTTTTTAAAAGTTTTTATAACTTGTTTTAATTAGTTACACATGAGAGTAGAGTGCATTTTGACATATTTCACACAAATGGAGCACAACTTTTAATTCCTCTGGCACACATAGTGCAGAGTCACACCAATAGTATAATTACACACACATATATAGGGTAATAATGTTTCTCTCATTCTACCATCCTTCTCATCCCCACACCCTCTCCCCTCTCCTCTGCACAATCCAAATTTGCTTCTTATTTTTGATACAGGGTCTCCCTAAGTTGCTGAGGCTGGCCTTGATCTTAGGATACTACTGCCTCCCAAGCCCTATGATAAGAGACCCATGTGTCACCACATCTGGCTAAAATTTGACCATTTTTAACTGAATATTTACTCATCCCTGTTTGCTAAGGGAGAGTTTACCAGAAACTAGACTCCTAGCAACATAATCCCAAGGGTCGTCAGATTACACAAGATTTAGCACCATTTTAAGCTCCATCAGAGAGGCACTACAAAGACACAGGAGTAATGCTTGTGTCTAAGAGTCAAGGAAAATAAAATTTTACTTAAGGAACTCTATCTTCTATGAGACTGACATTAAAAAGGAAGTATCCTTCACTGGTAGAAATCAGTGATATTTATTGATTTTCAAAAACCTCTTCTGAAAGAAAAATGGAATTATTATTTGTACTCAGTTAAGTATATATTGATAGT